GATAAAAAGCAAAGGATTAAAAAAAACTGACAGATCTGTAGCCTTTTCCACAGAGTCCTTAACTTTTTGACAGAATGGTTTACAGTAAAGCTGAACAAGCAAAGGTTCATGTTGCTTTTGTTATCAGATCTTTGCCTACAAAGTATGGAACTTTGCCTGAAAATTGGCAGCTGTTTTTTTTAAAGAATTTGTTTCATTGTTTCTCAAAATCTTTGGACAAAATCAGACTCCTGCTTGTATTGTTTTATACTGTATTAAAATCCAGCAGTTTTGTTCAACAATAATTTAACTGACATGATTTCAACAAGAAAGTGCAACAAAACAGTCAGTCAGCTGCCCAACCTGTGAAATTGTTTATTTCAAATAATACTTAATGTGTTTTTTTTACAGCCTCAGGTTATTATAGTCAAATTCACGCTAAGTACTTGTCAGTGCTGAAGAAAAACAGTCCCAATCTGAGAGATAAGCCCAGAGGGGAATCAGATGGAAAATTACAGGCACTTAAGAGTCTGAGAGGATTTAAAAAATGTTGCATAAATGTTTGGAATCAGTTTTTCTTCTGTCTGATGAGCTTAGTCAAGGTCTTCTCATTAAGGGCCGCATCTACAAGAATGTGATTATTATCAAAGGCAAATGTGATTACATTCTTGCATATGTCTGTTTTTGTGTGTTCTTTGTCTGATAGCAAAATATCACATGAACCACTGACTTACAGGGTGAGTCAAAAGTCACAGGATGCCCTTTTATTTCTGAAAGAAAAGGGAAAATGACATATCTGAATATCCCAGCAAGTAATAGGTGAGAGGGGCCAGGGGTGTCAAACTCATTTTCACTGAAGGTCACATGAGCATCATGGCTAAAGGGCCAGCCGGAATTAACTTCAACGTTTTGTGTTTGACTTTGACTTCTTATTGCTAAGGCTGAGCAGCGCTAACAAAACATACCAGAGCTCTACGTGGTATTTCCTGCATAGAAACAGCATTTTAACATGTCCTCTTATAAACACTGAAAAATATTACATGTGAAATAAATGATACAGAAATACTATTAAAAGTAAAAATAGAGAGTTTTACTCACTGTTGAGTCGTGGTGAGCATGGTGCTATCTTGAATGCTGAACTCTCCCACTGGAGAGGCATTCCAGTTTAAGTTTATAACTTATAAGTGGGAAATCCCCACTTCTCAGTGCAACTGCAAAAATAGCTGACAAAAATGCAGGGAAATTGAGATTTTACATGTCAAATTTCATTGTCTGCTGCATGGCTACTTTTGAATCTTGTGCACATCTACTTAGTGCTGGGATGCTGTCATTTTACAGATAAAATAATCTACGTGCGTTTTGGGAGATGTAGTTTATGATTAATGCTTTAAATCAGCTTATTGTAAGACATTAGTGCATCTTTGAAGCTGTCTGGGACCACACAAAAGGCCGTGGCAGGCCAAATATGGTTGATGTGTGTTTTAAGATATGTCCAGAACATGACCACTATCTTGAAAGTTGCCAAATCAAAGCCAGATTTTCCCTTTTCTTTCTGAAATACAGTAAGGCTGTCCTGTTATTTCTCACTCACCCTGTATTTGAAAAACAAATAAATCAGAAAGTAATTAGTGGATATACATTTACAACTGATTAACTTTTGTACTCAGTCTTTTTCACGATAGCTGCCAACCGACCATGAAAAAACACACTTCATGTGTTGAACTGAGCTCTGGTGTTGTAGTGGCTGAGCACTGTCACTAAATCATACGTTGCTTAAAACTTTGGCATTACCTATTAGAATCAACTCTGTTGGCCTGTTAGCAAAATATTTCAAAAACACTGGATAGCTTTTATAGTAAGTAGTCGTTGGATGTTCATCTACAACTGATTAACTATTGAAGCCAACCCAGTTCAAGATGATCTCGGTTAATTAACCTTCTAAAGCTTTAACAAAGAAGGCCTAAAGCAATAAGTTCTTACTGAGGGAAATACAGTTTCTGTCTGCATTCAGAACTTATTGAGGGTTGATTATTAGCAACGAGTACTTGGAGATATTTGTGATATTTGTTTGGTCAAGAGGCAGATCAGTGAGTGAAGGCTTGATCCATCCTTTCTTCTTTTGCTGTTTATTTTAGAATTTGAGATTTTAAAACAACTGTTATAAAGAAAAAAAGTACATTTTTTTATCCTAGATGTAAGGTTTTTCTTTGTGTGTGAAGTTTAACACTAGAACTGCAGAAGCAGACAGTTATGACTCATTCCAGCAAAGCAAAGAAAGAAAAAAACTATTCTTTTTCCTGGGGAGGGAGGGATGTGTGTAAGTACAGGGTGTCTGCTAACCAGGAGTTAGAAATGAAAGGTGTGTAAATGGCAGTGAGCTGCTGCGTTTAAAGAATGGTGAGTCATTCATACTCCCCCACTGGCTCAAAATAACTGCAAACATGCACGTAAACAACATAAACACATAATGACAGAAAATGCATCAGCGCTACACACACTCTGACACACACTCACACACACACTGCGGTTTCCCTGTCTCATCATGTTAATGCCTCGGTCGCTTTGCTTTTTATTTGCAGTTATTTTTAAGCAACTTCCATTGCTGAATCATTGTGTTTGTGAGTCACGCCCGTGCACCATCCTAATCCTAAAAAATGCGCAAGCAGCAAGTCTTCAACACTTCTTTTCTCTCTCTTTTTTTTTCATTCTTCATTTTTTCTGTTTTACTTGCTTCATGGCAGACAAAGGGGCCTTGTTTTTCTCTCTCCTCAGTGTGTGTGCATCTGCAATGTGTGTGTGTGTGTGTGTGTGTGTGTGTGTGTGT